GGGGCCAAGCAGGGCTCAGCTCCCCGCGCTTCCCCCGCCTCGAGGAGAACTGGCCTGTGTGCTTTCGATTCACAGCCACGAAAGATGAGGCAAAAAAGCACCGTTACCGGCAGAAAATATCCGAGTACATGACCAGAGCTGAAGACATTAAAAAACACATTGAAAAAGAGAAACAAGGTATGGAGCTGCAATGTACCCTTTCGCATTTAAATACCTGTTGTTATGTGAACGTTTTATGGGCGAGGTGGTTAACACAGGAATTATGTGATGATCTTCATTGAAAAAGAGACTTCTTTTCTTTTCAGATGGCAAATACCATAAGCAAATCAGGATAGAGGAAAATGCAACAGGTTTTGGCTACGAAAAGCTTTTCCAAGAGTACCTTACTGAGATTGTTTCTGAAGTTTGGGTGGAGGACCCATACATTAGGCATGTTCATCAGGCAAGTAGATATTCAGTGTAACTGGTACAGATGTAACTACTAAAAAAATTCCAAGTTACTAAATTAAATAAAAGTTTTACAGTTGTATAACTTTCTACGATTCTGCGAGATGCTAGTTAAGGGGCCATGCAAAGTGAAAACAATCCATCTCCTCACTTCCTATGACGAAGTAAGTGTCTAAGTTTTGGTTTCTGTTTCTCCGTACTCAGGTGATACCACATGCAAGTATATAAATAAAAATGTGATAGTTGAACATAAGTAATTTTATAAGTTCAGAGTTTTCTGATAACTCTTAACAAATTCTTGGTAAGCAGGATCTTAAATGGAAAAGATATTTTTGTGAACATTTTGTTGTGGAAAATGTCATCAAAACCAAAGCGGGTATTGATATGGTTGTTTTTCTCTTCCTACAGCTGTATATAGTTGTCATTTTAGAGGCTTTGATGAGCTAAAACCTCTCAAACTATCACTGCATTTATTTTGGCTCAAATAATAATTCATATCTAGTTTCAAAGGGCTGAGAGTGAGCTCCTCCTCCACATCCCTTAGCAAGTGTACCTGTAATCTGTCTGCTTTTTATCCTGTCTTTGAAACTGCGAATCTGCCTTCATCCAAGTTACTTTCTTTTGGTTTAAGTTATTACTAAAAAGGTTTTGTTGGTGACTTCAGGAAGAGGTGACCAGAAGTAGAATATATGGTTAAAAAAACTCCACCACGTTATTTTTACTTTTAACAGGGTAATGGGAGGAGTCAGCAGATAAGTGGCTTGGAAGAAATACAACAATCATTGAGGAATTATGGAGTAACACTGAATATTGCATTTTCATCTTCAATACATGATCGAGAAATTAGGTGGGTGTTATAAAAAATCAGTGAATGCTAGTTATTTGAAGTCAAACTACTTAACCCTAACTTTTGAGACAATTTCTACTTACAGCTGTGGTTAACAAAGTGGAAGGCAGTGGCCCTAACTGGATAAAGTCAGCCCTCCATAGTTTCATGTGTTCTAACTGCGAACATAATAGTAGATGTCTCTGTATACAGAACAGTGTCTTCCATGGTTCATACAGGTATTGGCAACACTAGGAAATAACTGTGATTGAAACAAGGAGCTTGTGCGTCATGTGGATATAACTATTTTTTTATTCAACATACTCATAGTATTCAAATTTGTGAATTTTTAAAACAGATTCAACAATGGGTGGATGATTAAGATTGGAAGGGGTCTTGATTATTTTAAGAAACCACAGGTAAGAATGCTTTGACCTCTCTAATTAACTTACACTGTAGAAAAGCTCATTCTGTGTTCACCATGTCAATTCTGTTAATTTCTGCAGGGTCGTTTCAGCATTGGATACTGTGACTTTGACTTGCGACCTTGTCATGAAACAACAGTGGATGTCTTTCATACTAAACATACAAAGAAAATGTGATCAGATACGACTGCTTTTAATGAGTGTTTTTGTAAGCATAAAAATGTAAGACTGGAAGATGCCGCTTGAGTCCAGCTGTCCACCCTCAGAAGCAACTCTTCTAAGTACTTAGTCCAGCACAGCTTTTACAATCTATAGGTTTAAGAATATTTGAGACTTTTCAGTCTGAGAAAACACAGCTGTACAATTCCTCCACTGTACTTCTCCCATAATCTTAATTAATACAGTCCATGTCTAAATCTGATCTTGATTTCATAACAGACCCTCAATACTGTCTCTCAAAGGCCTCTTTACTGTAATTTCTTTTTTTGCTATTAATTTTGTCCTGAGCACATTTTGGGTTTTGTATCTTTAATTGACCACCTCACACACATTTGAAGCTGGGCTGCCACATGTCCTCTTTTATAAGCAGTCTTATTTATTTCCTTTAATTCCTGTATTCTAGTCATGACTACTGTTCTGCTGTGTTTTGGTCAATCCCTTAATACCTGATTTCGCAGACTTTACTAGTAACCCCAAATCTAACATTCCGTTTTCCAAGCTCCTTGCATACAAACATTGTAGTGTTCAGTATACAGACATTTTAGGGTCATCTTACGTGTCTCTGCATGATGGATTTTGGGCTGGAAAGGACGCAAACAGCTGTATTCTTTTCCCTGTCACTCCTGTATGTTCTTTTATTCTGTGATGTGTGGTCATATACTTGATTTCCATCCTTTGCATTAGGTGTGGAAAGGTGGTGTGATCCTCTCCCAGTCTTTTTCCCTGACTTGCAAGTTTAATGTCCTTCCAGCTAGTCATGCCAGTCTGAGCTGCAGTAAGCTATTTCCCTGCTACTGAGATAGTCCCCTAAAAAAATAATAATTGATTTTTAAATTCTTCCAGAAGTTGGATACCCTGAAACTTTCTTGTTAATAATGATCCTAAGGAGTACGCTAATTGGAAAAAAGGCAAAGTCTTTTCTTGTCTTCCCTTCATCCTCTGGAAAGCGGAAGGTATCACCTGAGCTGCTGCTTCTTTTTCTCCTAACACAGGAGTTCTTGATCATTGTCAGCAAGAATCTGGCAAAGTTGTTTATTCTGACATGAAGAACAGGCAGTGGCCTCTTTCGCAGGTCCCATCAAAATCTTTTCAGCCTCAAGACTGATAGGTGCCTTATGCTTTCTGCATCTTGTAATACAATATGCCTCCATATTTTAGTAGCATGTTCATTGCTAGAACTTTTTCTCTCTCCTATGTTTCTTTTTCCTGATGGCTGGTGTATGCCATTATCCTTTTTTTTATTATTTGCTTTATTCTTTTTTCACCTTCTGTCATCTAATGCTGCTATTCTTTTAGTCTTGCCTCTAACACAACAAATCTATTCCACAGCTATCAAGAAGAAACAGAGCTGGTCTTTGCCTTGTTCTCTGGGTCACAGTTTGCCAGTGGTCTGCCTTCTTTATCCTTTTGCATAGTAATGTCTCAGCTTTTTGGTGTTACATCAGCAAAAAGAAAAACATTACGTGCCACAGAAGCTGTACGCTACCGGTCGGTCACCCCAAACATTCCATAGAAGTTCCCTGGCTTGCTGCTGCGATACTAGGTTTCTGGTCACTGTCATCAGTTTTATTCAGTTGTGTATTAAAAATTAAAAAAATATAAAAAATTTAAAAATATAAAAAATTTCTAAATATGCCTATTTTTAATGGGAATAAAGGTTATTTTTTATTATTTGTAATTTTAGTCATCTGTTTGAATTCTTCTCTGCACTACATAGGGTAATTCAAGGAAGCTGGGTAACGCCTTATAGATCAGCCATGTTTGGGACAAGGTTCACTGTAAGTACAGTAAGCTTCCCAAATGTGAAGCTTTGTATCTTTTAACCTAGTCCAGCAATTTCAAACATACAGAGGCAAAATAAAAAGCCACCTTAAATATTTGAGATCAACTTTAAATTTTAGTACTTAATTGGAAATCAAAATAAAAATCTTTATGCGTTCTGTATCTTGTAATACAATATGCCTCTCTGTTCTAATAGTAAGCTCCTATGATGTGGTCCTCCACAAATACCACAAGAGGCAAAGCATGGTCTTCCCTCTCTTGCCTGTTCATTGCTCGACCTTTTTCTCTGTTTTCTAATTAGACTATAATTCACTAGCTAAGGCCGCAGATTTCCTTGCAGATTTCATGGATATGCAATATCTGTACATATGTACAAGTAAGCCTTTAGTGACGTACCAGTTGGCGCTGCACTGCAATTTTTACCTATAAGCCCTTTATCTCTGAATAGTTCCTTTCGTTGTCAGTAGGAACACCATGTATGAAGAAGAATGTATGCGAATGAATGGAAAAAAAAAAAAATTATCAGAGCAATGGTGGTGTTGGGTTGACGGTTGGACTCGATGATCTTAGAGGTCTTTTCCAACCTTAATGACTCTATGATTCTATGATTCAATCTAAGAGTACAGTTCCACAATCATTTTACTGACTCCAGGCCACATTCTTCCGTGCTGCCACTCACACTTACGTAGTCGGGTCATCACCTGGATTGTGCAGCCAGGACTGTCCCTCCTGCCAGGATCTGTGGAGGTGAGTTTAAGCCACCTTGTCAGGTGAGTGCCGTTCAGTCCTACAGTGTGACTGCCTGTCCTAGCCGAGGGCTGGATTCACCCCCATTGACCACTCTCCTTAGCTAAAGGTGGGTTGCTTCTGCCATGTACTTTCCTCCTACTGAGTGCTGGCCAACCAGCCATCTTTTAAAGAGGTGGTGTGTAAATAACAGTGCTGGCCAACCAGCCATCTTTTAAAGACGCGGTGTGTAAGTAACATAGTAACACCTCATGGGCCTTTGCAGGCCTCACTTGTTAAGAAACGTTTGCAGCTAATGGTCTTGTCTGCACGATTTAATTAGCAAAGGACTGAAGTATTCATAAAAAGATATACTGCTTAGGGCTTCCAAATCTGACTGTCCAGAGCCTCCTTATCTGAAGAATTTCAATTGCTGCTGTTGCTTACCGCATCCTGCTTATCTGACGGTTTGGCGAAGAACAAATTGTGTAACCTAGCAGTATATGAACTCTGTAACAGCCTCCCTTGGGCAGAGTTTGTATCAGCAGAGGCTGTCTCTCTGCTGCTCTGTGTTTTCTCCTATAGTATGAAACTGCTGCTGCTCTGACCTGATCAAAATTGCATTACAGTTATTCCGTGACAGAATTTGGTGCTGTGACTTGGATTCACATGTCCTGCTTTGCCTGGGAGGACCGCAGACTGATCCCTGCCAAAACCCCCTTGGTGCCACTCAGAAAGGTAAGGGACCTTTTGAAATCCCTGCTGGAGCTTCAGCCAAGGGTTGTCTGCATGGACAAGGACATTGGAAGTCAGAATGACCTTACAGACCTAATCATAAGTCTTTTAAGCCCAGTAGGATTCAGTCACCCTAACTTTCCACCCACCTCTTCCTTCATGCCACAGCCTCAGAAATGTGATTAGGACGGCCCCAAGGACATAAACATCGTTGCTCCTTTACTTTCTTTAGGCCAGACTGGTCCTTATGTATCTGGCCCTATTAACAGCACTGTTGTTTCTTGCCTAATTGATACTGGCGTTTCTCAATCCGCTTTATGTCCCTCTGATTTTCCCGCAGTTCCCTTATCTTCAGAAGTAGTAAACGCTGTTGGTATTTCAGGAGAACCCACACATCAGCCAGCAACAAGCCCTTTGTCTGTAACCATCTGCCTCATTTGTGGATACTATGCTTTCCTTTTAAGTCCTACCACCCCAGTTAACCTTCTGGGAAAAGACTCTTATGTAAATTGGGTTGTGCCATATATTGTGCCCTGAATGGAATCTACCTTGATGTGCTCACACCTCAACAGGGTGAATTTATGGCTTTTTTGCTTGATGAACCTCCCACTTCAAATTTAACTAACTCTACTATTCAAGGGCAGTTTGGTGAAGAAAGAGTTGTATAACATAAAGGTATATAAACTCTGTAACTGCCTCATTTGGGCAGAGTTCACATCAGCGGAGTCTGTCACTGCTGTGCTGGGTTCTCTCCTACAGCCATAGCAATAAACTGCTTCTGTTCTGACCTGATCAAAATTGCATTCTGCTTATTCGGCAACAACAGTGAAATACATCTTGAGCCTTTCTTTCATAATGTTACTTTATATTGAGCTATTCTTTTTATTTAACGTGAAAACTGTCATTTTCAGTTCACCATTGCCCTTCATTAGCAAATTTTCTCCTAGGTGGTAACATAAGGAACCTGTGTCTCCTAGATCTGTATTTGCAAGTGTATTTCCTAATGTAGAAGAAGTATTCCCACTTTTAGCTTAGATACCAGTACCTATGGCAGCAGTGACTCCCAGCTTTGTGCCAGGCAGTGCAGGTACAAAGGAGGCACACACGGCCTCCATCCCAGTTAGCCTCTCCTGCCCTCATCACATAAACCCCAACACTGAACTTCCTAATCCTTCCCCCGCTTTTGCACGTGCATGGATAAAAGCCCTAATCCTGGGTGGAACTGCTGGACTGATTCGCTACACAGCAGCGAGCTTAGCTTACCACCATGCTTGTACAGCGGAGGCAGAGGGTCAGCAGCACTCTGCAGGAACGGACCTTCAACCAGAAACCAGGGGGCACATCCCTCTCCACACAGCTCAGGGGCTGAGACACGGCCTTTGAGCTACTATCTGCAAGGAGCGGGATGCAGGCTGGGGGATCCAGCGCAGCAGCACAGCGGCAGCTTTCCATCTACCCCACCCCATCTGTGTCAGCCATTTGCACCTTCTCTGCTACAGAGCCAGTTTGGGATGCCTCCACCATTTTCCCTGGTTTAAGCAGCGATGACGTCTGTCAGCACGGAGCGATACAGGACTGCAGCCTATTACAGTGCCTTACATCCTACAGTTTGGGAACCTAGGGTGCAGGCAGTGTGAAATCTAATTGCTAGTAGGTAATATTAAGCAAAAGCACAAGATTAAACAGTTTTAATGACTAATAAGAGAAAAATTCACCTTGTAGAAATTAATGTTTTAATATTGTTTTCAATAACTTAAAAAGCAGCAGAAGTTTAACTTACACTTTCAAAATGCAAGTCACATTAACATTATCATATTCTCGCATAGCAGATTCCACCTGCTGTGCAACTCATTATCTTGCGGACACACTCTTAGTAACGTCGTCACTAGTGTAGTGGTTTCATTTGGGCAAAACTTACTGCCAGTAAGGCTCTTCACCAGTTCACTGCACAGTGCTGGTGGCAGCCACTGCTCTGGCAGATCAATGTTACAGACTTCAATTCTTCCATGCTTTATATCCATATCTACTTTAACGTCAAGAAAGGAATCTTTATAGACCATGTTAAAACAAGTGCTAACGCTGAACTTCGGTGTCTTCCCATACACCCATTCCCAGGTTTGTAGTTCTTTAGTTTTATTATTAATTCCAGGAAGCACAGTCTCATCAGCTGGATTTATTAAGGTGATATGATGATCTATTTGGTGTTGTGTAGCATATTCTTCAGCAATGGCATCCAGGAGCATCTCACAAGTTAAACTAGGATCCTCTTCAAAGAGATTTTTCACCGAGGCAGGCACACTAGGAGTGGCATTGCTTTTTAGCCCTTTATAAGGACTTTTTAGCACGGAAGATAAAACAAACTTATCTGCGTTACAGAGTAAGGTACAGTGGTGATAAGCAGTTGTCCTTCCCAGCTTTGCAGCAGTACCTGAGATTTTGTATTGCCTATCTAGCAAGATGTCGTATCTGTCAGTGACATGTACATCTAACTGGGGACGCAAGGCTTTCAGTGCCTTCACAACTAGTTTCAGGTTTTCCATTCGTTCATACTTTTTTCTGGTTGTAAAGAAAGTCAAATTGATATTGCCTAAGTCATGGTAAACTGTCCCTCCTCCACTTCTTCTCCTGGCTAGTTTTATATTTTTTTGCCTCAATAGCCTGAGGTTGCATTCCTGCCAGGGATTCTGATGTCTCCCTATTACCACAGCAGGGGAATTTCTCCAAAGGAAAAGGACCTGTCGGTTCTCCAAATTCATGTGGTCAAGGATCCAGTCTTCCACAGCTAGATTTTGGTAAACATCATTAGAAGTAGACTGGATAATGAGGCCTCCACTCGTTGTGCTTCTGAAGCCAGCTTTTGGAGTCCTGAGGGTGCAGGATAACTGAAGGCAGTTCTTTAATAATGACTGGAGCACCATGTTTTTAATAACTGGGCAGTAGATGGGAGGAATGCTTGATCTGGTAAAGCTGAATGTGGCAAGCGCACAACCTGCTGTTGTGACGGAAATGAAATGCTAGTGGCAGTCATGATGCAGTCATGCTCCTCCCCAAGTAGCAACGCTCCTGAACCGATGTGAGTTGCAAGGCATGTTTCTCCTCTTGAAGCGAATGATGCCGTTCAAACCCTGATGTGTGCTTAACTTAAAAGCTGGGGTTGTCAGAGTAGCTTCTCCTGGCAGTACTTGGGGCCTAAAAGACCAAAGGAAGAAACGGAATTAAACCGTGTGCTTTCCCCTCACTCAATACAGTCTTGCAAATACAATTCTACTTTGTGTATTTTGCAAAACTTAAATTTGGCAGTCCAGTTTTATTAATTTTTTTTTCATTGATCTGATAAGAAAAAACAGGTGCAACAAGTTCACGAGCTTGTTGGGTCAGTGATGAGCCAGCCAGGTGCAGGGCTTGCTGCCACGGAGCCTGCAGCGCCCTACCGAAAGGCGAGGCAAGCCCCGCCGGGTTACCGGAGCCGGTACCATCCGCTGCCGTCCCGGGGCCATTTCGTTCTTGGCGCAGGTGTTCCCTCAGGCACGGCGGCTCCTCCCGAGAGGCGGTGC